CTTTTCCATTTTTGTGATGCGTGTGCTGCATCTGCGAGGCATAGTCCGCTTCTGCGGACCTCACGCTTCTGCGATGCCAATATCGCTTCTGCGAGCCCATTTCCGCAGGTGCGATTCCATCAGTAGACAGCAGCAAGTTTCAATTGTTCTAAGTCCAAATTTGGTCCGTTAACCATCCGAAACTCACCCGAGACCCCCGAGACGTCAACCAAATATGCCAACAAGTCCTGAAACATCATACTAACTTAGTCGAAATCTCAAATCACATCAAACAACGCTAAAACCACAATTCATACCCCAATTCAAGTCTAATGAAACTAAGCATCGTTCAACTTTTATATTCACTGCCGAAACCTATCAAATCAAGTCCGATTGATCTCAAATTTTGCACACAAGTCATAAATGACATAACAGACCTATTCCAATTTCCAAAATTTGATTTCGACCCCGATATCAAAAAGTCAACTCCCCGGTCAAACTTCCAAACTTAAATTTCTATTTTAGCCATTTCAAGCCTAATTTAACTACGGAATTGCAAATCATTTTTCGAACACGCACCTAAGTCCAAATTCACCATACAGAGCTATTGGAATCATCAAAATTCTATTCCGGGGTCGTTTATACATAAGTCAACATCTGGTCAACCTTTTCAACTTACATTTTTATCTTGGAGACTAAGTGTCTCAATTCATTTCAAAACCTCACCGGACCCGAACCAATTACCCCGGCAAGTCACATAACAATTATAAAGTATAAATTGAGCAGTAAATATGAGAACAAGACTGTAATACTCAAAATAATCGGTCGGGTCATTACACACACTTATCCCTCCACCCCGACAATATCAATAGCCATCCTCATCCCTCCGCCCTGATAATATCAATAGCCACCCTTATCGCTCTTATAGCCACCATTATCACTCCTATAATAGCCTCCCTTATCTCTCCGTTTAATATCCTCCCTTATCACTCCGCCCAGAAAATATCCCAACACACATAACAACAATGAAATGCCACTCTTATACCTGCATAATATTAATAATGGAATCCCACCCTTATACGCCGTACAAAAGTAACCCAAATCACACAACAATTTACACAGAAGATTATCACAACACTACATAATCAACTCGTAATTACAAATTGCCTTTAGGCCACAACATTTCCAAAAGTACAACAAAATCAATTAATTTCACAGCAAATAGCCTAAGGCTCCACACAACATATATAAAACCTCAAAAAGAATAACAAGGATGGAAAAATAGCTCAGCATAGGACAACACCTTCTTTAATCCAAATTTCAGATAAATATACAAATGCCTCTTTTTAAACATATTTAATTAATTATTTCCAGGAAATATCAACTTAACAAACACACGGGATTCACATAAAAATCAAAGTGGCAATCACACCAAATTATCATATAAAAATAAATTCGACAAATAAGGATTTGAGGTATGGCAAATAGAGGATTTAATAAATTTCAATAATTATCCAATTTAATACATAAAAATGCCTAAGACCTTAAACCAATAAAATTTGCACATATAAGCCCAACTACGTATTCGTCACCTCGTGTAAACGACTTTCAATCACACAATTTTCACATAAGACTCAATGCGTAAGGGGTAATTGTTAGGATATAGATTAACCTAGATTTTGAATTTAAATTCCTAATGAAATATTTGATATCTTAGGCTAGGACTACTCTTATCACGTTAACAAACCTTATCAGCTAGAGAGTTTGTATAGCACGCAACTACTGTATCAGCTTATGTATACAGAGGACGACTCATATTCTATTGTAATAGAGCTTTAGTTAATCAAATACAACACATCATTTCATGGTATCAGAGCGAAACAGCAACTCACGTCCATCTTCATCCATGGCTTTACCTTCTCTCACTAGCCTCAGCACTCAAACACCACAAACAAATCCTACCCCTTTCTCAACCAATGTCGCTCAGTCAAGTTCGATAAAGCTTGATTGGAACAATTACATATTCTGGAAGTCGCAACTTCTTGCAGTACTTAGAGGCCATGACCTTGAAGGAAATGTTGATGGTACACATAAATGTCCATCTCGAATGATATCCAGCTCTTCTGAAGAAAACTCCTCCCAAGCAACGGTAAACCCAGCATATAACTCTTGGATAAAACAGGATCAACTACTGCTTTCTTGGATCCTTTCAACCCTCACTGAAGATGTGTTAGCCCAGGTTGTTGGTTGCGTTTCTTCGCGAGACGTATGGAAAACACTTGAAAACATGTTTGCCTCGCAATCTAAGGCAAGAATCATGCAATTACGGCTTCATCTACAAACTACAAAAAAGGCAACACTTCAATGGTTGAATATCTTCAAAAGATGAAAACTTTTGCAGATAACTTAGCTATAACTGCTTATCCAGTCACAGATGAGGACCTAGTTTTATATATTCTAGGTGGACTTGGCCCAGATTAAGATGCTTTAGTTGTTTCTGTCACCTCTAGAGCAGAATCCATATCCTTAGCCGATCTCCATGGACTGCTACTCAGCTATGAATATAGGTTGGAACAAATAAATGCCTTAGAGCAAAGTTTGGCGCAAGCAAATTTGTCAGTCAAAAATTCTAATCATACTGGTACAGGAGACAACTATTTTAGACGAAACTATAATCCTGGTTCTAATCAATACACTGGTGGAAGGGGTGGTGGTCGAGGTCGAGGATGCGGTGGTCAAAATACAAACTCTAACCATGCTGCAGTTCAGTGCCAAGTTTGCAACAAGTATGGACATACAGCTGTGACTTGTTACCACCAATTCGACCATGCTTACCAGGCTCCATCAAAACAGAAAATGGCAGCCCTTATTGCTCATCCTTCAACCATTAATGATCCAGCTTGGTATCCAGATTCTGGCGCAACAAATCACCTCATCAACGACATTACATCCATGACTGTCCGAGGTGAGTATAATGGGAATGAGCAAGTTCAAGTTGGTAATGGTGCAGGTTTGGCTATAACTCATATTGGAAATTCAAAATTTTCCAGTTATTCTAGGCCATTACAATTAAAGAATGTATTGCGTGTACCTATTGGACGGGAGTCTTGATCATGGCCTTTACAAGCTGCACTCTCTCAAGTCATCCAATTTGAAAGCTATCCAAAATAAACCACAAGCATTCCTCGTATCCAAACCTTCATTTGATCTTTGGAATAGTAGACTAGGTCATTCCTGAATAAATATTGTTAGTCGTATCATTAGAACACTTAAATTACCTTTTTCTAACAGTAGACAAAGGTAAGGGTGTCCATTTTGGCAAAGGTCACAAACTTCCTTTTTCTGTTTCTAGTTCTAGTTCTGCAAATCCTTTAGATTTGATTCACACTGATGTATGGGGCCCTTCTCCTCTTCTAGATAGCAATAAATTTCGTTATTATGTTTCTTTCATCGATGATTTTAGCAAATTCGCATGGTTGTATCTCATGAACTTCAAATCTGAAGTACTTGATATCCTCTTGCGGTTTAAATCTCAAGTTGAAAACTTAATTGAACGCAAAATTAAATTAGTACAATCTAATTGGGGAGGTGAATATAAAAAATGCTCAAAGTTTTTCACTCAAATGGGGATCGTACATCAAGTTTCCTGCCCTCATACTCATGAACAAAATGGCACGACTGAAAGCAAACATCGCCATATTGTTGAAATGGGCTCAACTCTTTTGGCTCATGCTTCATTACCTATTCATTTTTGGGATCATGCCTTTTTGACAGCAGTCTATACTATCAATATAATTCCTTCTCCTTCTCTAAAGAACATGTCACCCTTTGAGATTTTATTCAAGAAACCACCCGATTATCACCTTCTTAAAGTTTTTGGGTGCACTTGTTATCCATATATTCGACCTTATAATTCCAATAAACTTGAGTTTCGATCCCTTCCTTGTGTGTTTTTAGGTTACAGTAGATATCACAAAGGCTATAATTGTCTCCATGTTCCTACAAATAGAATCTATGTCTCCGGGCAGCGGCAGACCCAGGATTTTGTGCTAGCGGGTTCAATCTTAGAAGTACATAACTTTAGTCGTAAAAAAGTAGTTGTCAAGTGGGTTCAAATAAAATATTTATACAAAATTTGCGCAACTTTAATCCTAATTTATACATATACACAGTATTATTTTTTGATAAAGCGGGTTCAGTTGAACTTGCTTGCTATCTCCAGGCATGTCATTTTTTATGGGACAAAGTTCTATTTTGCCCAGCCAACCTCCCAAATGTCCAATACATTGCCCACTACTATTCAGTCAATCTCTACACTTCAAGTAGTTGCTCCTTGTCATAAGGTCCAATCCCATGTCCCTCCAACTACATTGTCTTCATCCAGTAGGCCTATCTCTCCACCTTTGCCTCCAACTGATAACCCTTCTACTAATCTATCTGTTGACTTGCCTGTCTTACCACTTGTTCCCAGTAATTCATGCCCTTCCAGTAATGTAATACCTCATTCAGGTGCCCGCACCCAACCAAAACTATCTCAAGTAATTCACCCTCCTCATCACATGATTACTAGGCGTAAAGCTAAAGCACTTCCACAACCACAAGCTAACACAGTAACCAAATACCCTCTTCCACCTTCCTCTTTTCCCTCTGAACCTACCTACTTCTCTCAAGCAAACAAAGACTTAAACTGGAGAAAGGCCATGCAAGAGGAATACAATTCTCTCATCCACAATGGCACTTGGTCCCTTGTCCCTTCTTCTATTGCCAAAAATATTGTGGGATGTAAGTGTATCTTCAAGTTGAAACTCAGACCAAATGGTTCTATTGAACGCTATAAAGAGCGACTTATGGAAAAAGGTTTCAATCAAGAGTTCAGAGTTGATTATCATGACACCTTTAGCCCCGTTATTAAGCCTACCACAATTCGTGTCATTCTTACTATAGCACTGTCTCGGGGGTCTCTTCGTCAATAAGATGTCAAGAATGCCTTTTTACATGGGCATCTACATGAGGAAGTCTACATGACTCAACCGGCAGGCTTTGTTGATCCAAAATTCCCTAATCATGTCTGCAAATTGCATAAAGCACTCTATGGGCTTAAGGAAGCACCTAGAGCATGGTTTGAGAAGCTTAGCACTGCCTTATTGGAACTTGGTTTTCTTGGTTCGAAGTCTGATTCTCCTCTCTTTATTCGGAAGCGCAGTGATCATATTACGTTCATCCTTGTCTATGTTAATGAATTAATTGTGACAGGCAGCTCTAGCTCATTCATTTTGGATTTGATCAGGAAGCTCTCCAATGCTTTTGCACTCAAAGACTTAGGCAATCTACATTACTTCTTGGGGATAGAAGTGAGCCATGCCCGTGATGGTTTGATCCTGTGTCAGTCCAAATATATTAGAGATCTTCTTGCTCGAGCCAAAATGGAGGGAGCCAAGCCCATTGCAACCCCTATGCTTGCTGGACAACAACTTTCTCAACATGGTAACACCACATTTCATGATCATTCTCTATATAGAAGCCTTGTGGGAGCACTTCAATACATCACTATAACTAGACCTGATGTCTCCTACACTGTAAACAAGTTGTGCCAATTCATGCACAATCCCATGGAGTCACATTTTCAAGCTATGAAAATACTACTTCGCTATCTTAAAGGGACTATTCATCTTGGCCTTCTCTTACGTCCATCCTCACAGCTTCATATTAATGGCTTTTCTGATGCAGATTGGGCTGGTAGTCCAGATGATAGACGCTCCACTCATGGTTATTGTATTTACCTGGGGAAAAATATGGTGTCGTGGAGTTCTAAGAAGCAAAAGGTTGTTGCTTGCTCAAGCACAAAAGCTGAGTATAGAGCCTTAGCTGCTGCTACTGCTGAAACTACATGGCTCCAACATCTTCTTCAGGAACTTGGGGTCATCCTTCCTCAGCTCCAAAGTTATGGTGTGATAACATCTCCGCTACCTACCTTACTGCCAATCCAATTTTTCATGCTCGCACAAAACATATTGAACTGGATTTTCATTTTATTCGAGAAAAAGTAGCAGCAAAAGATCTTCAAATCCACTACATAAGTTCAGTTGATCAGATCGCAGACTTCCTCACAAAATGTCTCTCTAGCAGATGATTTTCCCATCTTAGAGACAAACTTATTGTGGTCAATTCACAGCTGCACTTACGGGGGGGGGGGGGGGGGGGGGGTGTTAGGATATAGATTAGCCTAGATTTTGAATTTAAATTCCTACTGAAATATCTGATATCTTAGGCCAGGACTGCTCTTATCACCTTAACAAACCTTATTAGCTAGAGAGTTTGTATAGCACACAACTACTGTATCAGCTTATGTATATAGTGGACGACTCCTCTTCTATTGTAATAGAGCTTTGGTTAATCAAATAAAACACATCATTTCAGTAATTATTCCACTCAAGGTTAGGCAAGACTTACCTTTACGGAGTTAGGCCGATATTCCAAAATAACCTTCTTGTGTGAAATGATCTCCGGACGGCTCAAATCTAGCCAAATAAATTATATAACTTCATTAAAATTCATCGGAAATAATTCCGGATAATATAACATTGACTTAAAATTTCACATTAAAAAGTCAATCTGAAAGTCAACGCGGGACCCGCCTCTCAAAACCCGATAGAATTTTTACGAAATCCGAGCACCAATTCTGATACGAGTTCAACCATACTAAAATTACTAAATTCCGATAACAACTCGGCCCTCAAATCCTCAATCTTAACCTTAAGGGTTTTCACAATTTTTTTCCAATTTAAAACACCAATTAAATGTTAAAAACAACAATGGATTAGGATAATTTAACCAAAATTAAGTTAGGAATCTTTACCCTAATGTTTCTCTTGAAAATCTCTCGAAAATCGCTTCTTCCAAGCTCTAAAATCGTCAAGAATGAATAAAAATGGCTAACTCCCGAATATAAGCTTCTTTCCAAGCAAGTCGCATCTGTGAAATGCGACTTGCCTCATTATTTCCAGCCAAAACAAAAGACAGTACCAGCCTTCAGTAAATCGGTCATAACTTTATGTACAAATGTCCAAATGATGAATGGTTCAAAGATGTACCAATGTCCAGTGCGAGCGCGCAAGTGAGGCAGAATACCATCCAAAGTGCGCGGCCATATGCGCGAGCGCATTCCCAGGTGCACGGCCGCGCACGTCCTATTTCGGAAAGAGTCCTATTTTGCGTAGGAGAAGGTGTGTTCGTTTGGGCCCGACCCTACTTGGTATATATACATGAAAAATAGTATTTTTGGTACTTTTCGCACATCTAAGACCTAAGGAAGCTAAGAAGAAGTGGGAGAACAAGAGTACAAGGATTTCATCATTCAATCCTCACCCAAGACAAGGGTTTGGATCGTTTATGCTTTCTTTTAACTTAAACTTATTTGTGATCAATTACTCCATATCTATGGAGTAGTTCTCTTTTAGGGTTTGATGAATTTGTTGTATTGATATTTGTTTGTGGATTATAACTATAGTTTTTATGTATTGAATCGTTTGGATGATTTAATTATTATATCTATATTCACATGTTCATGTAATTGAGAGAGGCTAGTTGAATTATCGTTTAACCCTAGTTAGGAGGATAATCGAGAGAGGTTCTCCTAAAGACCAATCCACTACGAATTCTTGCATATCTTCACTGAGCTTAAATTGGTTCATATTGTGAGGTTGAGACTTAATCGAGAGAGGAGTTTCTACTAAACGTTTGAACTAAGAATTTGGTGAATTCGAGAGACTCACTTGAACATTAGAAGTGAATGAACTAGAGTTAAATCCCAGACATTTATCTTGCACCTATCTAATCAACCCCTATTCCCCCCATTGATATCTTCCTTGCTTATTTTTGTTCGGTTGTCATTAGTCAATTAGCTCTAGATTCTTAGTTAATTTTAGTTTTAATTCACATAATTCTAAACTATTGATTATCTTGGATAGCAATCTAGTTACAAACTATGATAATATTATTTAACTACAATCCATGTGGATATAATATTATATTATATTATATTCGACTAACGAGCATATTTAAGTGTGTGTTTTGCGCTCGTCAACCAGGTGACTTTTCCCTATGATGGATGGCATGACGACTTTCTTAAGAGAATTAGCATTGTTTTGTTATATGGTGACTTTTGGATTGTTTGGTACTAATAAAAATAGTCTCTTGTATGTGATGTGTGAATTAAGAATACCCCTCCAAATTATTATTGTAAATTTAAAAAGTAAGTTGCATGGGGAAGAATAATTGTTGTGATAACGTTTTGGCTTATTTTGTGACTCTTTGCCCACTAGTTAGCATGATATTGCTCTAATTTTTCTTATTAAGAAGTGAAATTGATCCGTCTTGATTAGTTCATATGCCATGAGTGTTAGTTTTTGTTAAACATAATTCTTGTATTTACTTTTATCATCTAGAACTTGCTGATTGGTCTTCAAGACTAATGTTAACTATGTTTGGTTGAAGGGATGACCTTAGGCATTCTTTGTGATCTTTGAAAAAGCTTTTTTAGCCTTTCGAGCTTACCATTGCATAAATACTATCATTAGTTAATCTCATTTGAGCCTTTAACCTTTTCTTTGGCTACCTCATTAAAAACCTTTACCCTTTTTGTGAAATAATTTCCTCTTTTGAACTTGTCCCTCCTTGAATGTTAAGAATGAGGCTAAAAGCCTAAGTTTGAGGTGTTGGTATTAATTAGGAAATGGTGAAGATGTACATTGTATGTAGAAACATATACCTCAAAGTTGTTTATATGAAGATACTCAAGTTCCAAAAGAAAATAGTTGTATAAAATAAAAAAAAAAAAAAAACGGAGTGTTGAGAAATTAGAGAGGTACTTTAAGGTGGTTCTATGTTGGTAACTAGATGTAAATAAGGGCTATGTGGTTTAAAAAGAAGCAAAGTGCAAAAAGAAAAGATAAATGTGAGTAGTGTTCAAGGAGTGTGTAGTCACTTGTATCCCAAATGCTTATCCTACCCTCCCCTAAGCCTACATTACAAGCTTAAAAAGTCCTTATGGAATCTCCAACCGAATGTTCTTGAATAGGCGGCGGATTAAAATAAGGGCAAGCTTATGGCATAATATTTTGTAACACTTGAAATTCTTTGTTGAGAGTGTGTCTTTGTCATTTATCCCTCGTGCTGTTATTGTAAATATGATAATTTTGGAACTTTCTTTCTTGTGAGGGCACATAGATTATGATGAATTGGTGACATTGATATATTACGAATTGAATAAATTGAGCCTATGTAGTAGACTAGTGCTTTTGAGTCATTTCTTGAGGCTTGGTTGTTGTCACTTGATTATGTTAAAACTCTATTGCATTCTTGAGATTGTTTTAAATGAGGGAGTTATTTGGTTGAGATTCACATGCTTGAGCCTAATTATTAGTACCAACCAAGTCCATAAGTGTTATGCTTAATTAGAGAATGTGATTTGAAAATGATAGCGATGCTAATTGTGCTTTGAATATTAGAGCCTCATTAAAAATTTTGTTTTGATTTGCTTGAGGACAAGCAAAAGCTTTAAGTTGGGGGTGTTGATGAGTGGTGGTTTTACCATTTAATTTAGTCTCTTTTCTTTAGTTTTGTGACCTTTAATTATAAAATGAGGTGATTTATGGTGTGCATTGCTAGATTTTCAAGTAAATGAAATCTCGAAGAGAATTGAAATTAAATGAAATGGATTCGTGCAAAAAGAGTGAAAGAAGTGCAAAAGTTTCAAGTGGAATCACATCTGCGCAGAACCAACCGCATTTGCGGTCTCGAATCTACGAGAAAAGATACGCATTTGCGGAAGAAGAGGCGATTGATGAACCGCTTCTGCGGAAGAGCTCGGAGTCCGCTTCTGCGGCCACTTGTCCGCTTTTGCTGTGTAACCATTTTCCACTAAATATCGCATCTGTGGAGCCACACATGCGATGATTGTTCCGCAGGTGTGGCCAATGGGCTTCAGACCTGGGCAGGATTGACAATTCATATTTTCTCCATTCCAAACCCACAAATACACGACCTAGCTTATTGAAAAAAAATCTTTTGCATCTTTGGCATATCTTTGAATTATTTTTGAGTCTCTTGACTAGAGAACACAAATTTTGGAGTTAGGGTTCTTACACACATACTTGGGTCTTGAAGATTTGAATACATGACCTAGCTTATTGAAAAAAAATCTTTGGCATCTTTGGCATATCTTTGAATTATTTTTGAGTCTCTTGACTGGAGAACACAAGTTTTGGAGCTAGGGTTCTTACACACACACTTGGGTCTTGAAGATTTAAAACTTTTGGTTGAGAATTTTTTACCCATTTATGTTCATTTCTTCATTTCCTTGCTTTGTATTGTATATCTAAGTGTGTAGTATTTTTTTCATCACTTGAATCCTGTTTATGGGAATATTCATATTTAAAGTGTGGATTAAATATCTTGTTATGCTTATGTATTGAACGATTTTTATTTATTATGAAGTCAATTATTATATTTTTAATTATTTTTGTTCTTTAATGTTTTCAAAGGGATTAGCTAACCCTAGGACTCGCCCATTCACTTCGAATTAATTTTGGGAAAGATAAATTGGGGTTGAAAAAGATTAATTAACAAAAAATTGAGGCGTTAACCCTCACTTTATAGATTCTACCTAGGGATAGGATTGAACTACTTGTAGCCATATTCGGGTGTGCTTATAGCTTGTTTGGCCAAGCTTCTCAAGAGGCCAAAAGTGCTTTTTTCTCAAAAGCACTTTTTTCCTAATTTGAGTTGTTTGGCCAAGCTTTTTTGAGGAAAAAAAGTACTTTTGGGAAGAAGCAGAAGCAGTTTCTGAGAAGCAGAAAAAAATAGTTTGTTTCCAAAAGCAGAAGCAGAAGCAGAAGCAAAAGCAGTTTTGACTTTTCCTTTTTACCATAAATACCCTTAACAAAATATAGTATATACCAAAATAACTGTTAAACCTAATACTTAGGATATTAATGTATAAATATTTTTTATTATATTTAGGATAGCTTTCTAATATATAGTGACTTTA